GCAGTTCATTCTCTGGCTGCAAGAACACACTGTCTAACCCCAAGCTACCACAAGTGTAAAACCCCACTCACTCTATACAAAATAAAATAATAATTAAGAAACAACCCCTCTCCCCAATATATTTTGCAGAAGCAGAAACAGAACTATATTTTTTAGAATGTACTTCTGAAACAGAACATTTTTTCCACACATGGTCTCTGCCAGTACCCTGGAAAGATCTTCGGAGGCCCTTCCTTCATTGCTTTTCCGTGCTGAACCCCTCTTGAGAGGCTGCTACAAGGGGAAGCTTCCCAGCCACAAGGGAGCCATTTCTCTGCTCCGTTTTAAAACTTCTTATTAGCTCCGACGGGATGATAACGCATTATCAGTTTGGCAATTTCGCACGTTTTTCTCAGTAGCGGTTACACCTTAATTGACATGTGGAGGGCCGAAGTGGAGGGCTTTCTACAGAATGCCTGCTGATGGGTACCAGGAGTTAGGATTTTTGAAACTTTATGGGGAGAGTAAAAGAAGAGAGAGAAAATTACTGAGCTAAGAGGTGCCAGAAATCATTGGCGCACCTAATCAGCTTCTACTGTATGATCTGGTCATTCAAGAGCTGGTTGTGAACTCGCCCAGGCATGTGGGCGAGTGAATAAACTGGGTTTATTAAGCCGGATTCAGGCATGCAAATGAGCTCCAGAAAGCACAGCATGAAACAGATGCAATCTGGAATTAAGCTCAGCGCTGGGAGAAGCCGCCTCCCAGCATGGTTATATAGACAAGCCACACCCTCCGCCAGCATAGACCATGCCCGGAAATTGCTTGCCCAGCTCCGCATGGCTGCACAGCTAATCGTCAGGCATCCTGGTTGCACAGCTGAGCATTGGGTGTCCCGGTTCTCTTGCGCTGGCCGCTGCCAGGCACACAGCTGATTGGCGCTCCAACGGGGCTTCTCCGGAGCGTGGCTGCAGCCCCTGGCATCACGGACATTCCCACCACCACCAGGATCTCCCCGCTCCCGGTAAGGCAAATCCCGAGGTTTGACACTGCCATGTAAGCCTTACATAGAAGGCTTTCTGGTTGTAACACTGAAGTACAGATCCAACTACAGGAAGTCCTTGACTTACGACCACAATCGAGCCCAAACTGTCTGTTGTTAAGTGAGGCATTTGTTAAGTGGGTTTTGCCCCATTTTACAACCTTTCTTGCCACAGTTGCTAAGTGAATCTCTGCAGCTGATAAGTTAGAAATCCCGTTGTTAAGTGAATCTGGCTTCCCCACTGACTTTGCTTGTCAGAAAGTCGTCAAAGGGATGCAGCAACTTGCAGCAACGTGACCTTGGGATGCAGCAACAGTCAGAAGTATGAGCCAGTTGCCAAGCATCTGAATTGTGATCAGGGGAAAAATAGTCATAAGCCACTCTTTTCAGTACCGTGTAACTTTGATCGGTCACTACATGAACCGTTGCTAAGTCGAGGACTACCTATACGGTTGAGATTGAGATTCCTACAGATGTCACCAGGTTTAGGATCCCCATAGTGACAGATTACACGCTGTAACAACCAGCTACACATCCTCCTTAAATTGGACAAGCCAACTTTGAAAATCAATGATCACCATCACATCTTACAGCAATGGCAACATGCCTTGCACATAATACCTTCTTTTCCCTAATACGATGTTTCTCGATCTCCCCCACCCTATTAGAAAACCCCAAAGAACAAAGAAAACTGAGGAAGGAAATGTCTATCTTCCAACCATCCATCATCAATGCTTGTCTTGAAAAAGACACACCTGTAGCTATTGATGGAAACGTTTTCTATTCCACATTTTGCTCTCCGGAAAAGAAACTTCCATAGTTATGATTTATTATTACCTCCTCCTTGCTGTTACTAGGCAAAAAAAGTAATTATCACATAAAAGCAACTCCTCTTCTAGAAAAAAAAGAAAAGAAAAGAAATGAAACTGCAGACAAAACATAAGGAACCAAAAACCTGCAAGCACTTTTTAGAGGAATGTCAAGAGCAGGTAGAGGCATATTCCAAGCATCTTTTCAGAAAGGGATGGTATTTAATGGATCCTGGCTGAGCTTAAAAAGCTAGGTAGAATATGACTTAAGTATCTTTAGGATAGTGAGAGGGGCTGCATATAAATTTAATAAACAAACAAATAAACACAGTGAACAACAATTTTTTTTAGCATATGATGTGTTAAAACATACGAAGAACAGTTGCAGGAATTGGGAATGGCCAGTCTAGAGAAAAGAAGGACTAAGGCTAACACGACCAGTATTTGAGGGGCTGCCACAAAGAAGAGGAGGTCACCCTATTCTCCAAAGCACCTGTTGGTAGGACAATAAGTAACAGATGGAAACCTATCAAAGAAAGATCTAACCTAGAATGAAAGAACAATGCCCCAACAGTGAGGACAATTAACCAGTGGAAGTTGCCTGCAGAAGTTGTGGGTACTCCATAACTGGAGGTTTTTAAGAAGAGATTTGGACAGACACATCCAGAATGGCATACGGTCTCCTGCTTGAGTAGAGAGTTGGACTAGAAGACTTCCAAGCTCCCTTCCAATTCTCTTATTATGTATTCTAAATCTTTAGATAAGCGACTATCAGGAACTAGACGGGAGAGTCCAATGTTTATTGGACTTGGCCACTTCAAGATGTGCAGATTTCAACTTCCAGAATGTCCCAGACAGCATGGGAGTTGACATTAACACAACTTCAAGTGGGAAGGTTGAGAAACATTTTGGTAGTCAAACAAAACAAAACTTGGGAGACTTCCACCTTGTTGTCACGAAAATTGCACTCTCTACAAAGATAGGTTCAATTGAAATGGCCTTGTGGATTTTTTTCAGCCAACTATACTGCAGAGAGTGATGGTGACCAATCCTTCTTTATTACATGAACTTCCACCATTGGCAAGAACTTCCACCATTGGCAATACAAGCTGAGTGTTTAGATGTGGTCATGTGCCATTTTTCAAGGCAATAACACCATTTTTAATTTGGGCCCAGGGATGAATCAACATTTAGGAGAGATGAGAAATCCATGGAGTTAACAAATTTAGCAAATATGACTTCAGGGCATCTGCAAAGGCAAAACCGATGCCTCTCTTGGTGTCAAATACAAGCAGCCCTCAACTTAACGACTACAATTGAACCCAAAAATGTATGTTGCTAAGTGAGTTTTGCCCCGTTTTACAACTTTTCTTGCCACGTTTTCTTGGAGCGAATCCCTGCAGTTGTTAAATTAGTTAAACGGTTAAGTGAATCATCAACTTTGTCAGGATTCAAAAGGGGATCACGTGACACTTCAACCGTCATAAATGTGAATCGGTTGTCAAGCATCCAAATGTAAATGACGTGACTGAGGGGAATGCTATAACGGTCATCCGTGTGAAAAATCATCCTTAAGTCACTTTTTTCAGTGTTGTGTTAACGTCAAATGGTCATTAAGCAATCCAGTTTCAGGAAGCGTCCAGTGGAATTCTCTGCTTAACCCAAAATGTATTTCTTTGCAAAATGTATTTCTAAAACCTACTCAGGGAAGTGAGTCTCACTGATAAATCTAGACAGCCAATCATACTTCCCCCATTGATTCATTGGATGGTCCTAGGCAAGGAGACAGATCCTTGGAAGTCAGGATTATGACTTCATACAAGCTACCTCAAGGCACTTTTGCAACGGTTACTGAGATAATGGAAGCGAAATGTTTTTTTAAGCCCTGCACATTGGTATTATTACTGCTCTGAAAATTTGAGGGTGGGGGGGTGGAAGTCACAATGAAAGCAAGGCTTAAGGCCAGAAGGAGAGCTTCTGGCAGTCTTGGCAGGGGTGTGAGCCGAGATGAATCACCCCCTTTTGAGCAGTTTCTCTCTTCACTTTTGGTGAAGCCATTTGCAAACTCCAAAATTCCTCCGTTAGCAAATTTCTACGTGTTAGGAAGTGCAACCATCATCTTGTTTTTTGTTTTTTTTTAAAAAAAAAACACTTTTGCCAAACTCAGAGACAAAGTCCTTCCAGCTGAAGCCTTCACGTCTGTCCAACCATCAACCAAGGCAACTTGGTGGCCTCCAAAGGCATTAAAAAAAAAAAAAAGCCTGACCCAGCCACAACCGCAAGGATTTCTCCCCTTGTCCAGAGCTGCCACGAATCCGGATGCCACAAATACATACGGTACCCCTATTTAGTGTCGCCAAAAGAACCTCAACCTTGCAACCTCTGGTGCCTCTAACCCTTCAGCTTGTGGACGCTACCATTGGAACGGAAGTACCGTGTGCTTCCCCCCCCACACATTCTTTCTGGATTGGTTCGCCATTTGCACACCTGCAGTGGCCTTTTTGGGGGGAGGGGAAGGGGGCGGGGAAACCAGTCTCCATCCAGGCATGGGACTTTTCCCAGCAAGGTGTTCAATCCGGATGACAGGTACACTTACAACCGTCCATGTATTGACTGCAAAAATTACAACGGTGCTGTAATAAGTCGACTTAATAATAATAATAACTTTATTGTCAATGTACATGTATACACAGTATACCCATAGAATGAAATTCACTTAACACCCAAAAACCAGGTCCAACACACATAACAATCCCCAAACGCACAGACTTACAACTGTGTTTCACGCTTACGACCGCTGCAGCGTCCCCAGGGCCGCGGGAGCAAAATTCAGACGCTGACTCCCATTTACGGCGGCATCCCGAGGTCACGCGATCCCCATTTTGCGACCTTCCGGCGAGCCAAATCAAGGTGGGAAGCCCGGATTCCCTTCGCCAACTAACTTAACCCTCTGCCGCGATTCACTTAACAACAAAGGTCGTTAAGACGGGGCAAAACTCACTTAACTGTCTCCTTGGGAGAGAGCAATGTTGGGGTTGTAAGTTGAAGGCTACCTGGATGGGAGTGTTCCTGCTTGAATAAACGCTGCCCGGATCTCCCTCTCCCCACCCACCCCACTTCTTCCCACCAGGTAAGCCTACACCTGGTTGGGGGGGTCACCTCCGACTCACCTGCCGACTCTCCCGGCTGCACCTCCTGGGTGTTCAGGTAGAGGATGGAGAGCAGGTGAGGCTGGGTCTTCTCCAGCGCCACCCGCAAGTCCTGGAAGTGATCCCGCTCCTTGGCTAGCAGCAGCTGGAGGAGCAGCTCGGCCTTGCCCACGCTGGCCGGGATCGGCTCGCTAGATCCACCGCCGCCGCCTTCCTCGCCTTCTCCCCCGGCGGCCGGCCTCAGGCCGGCCTCCCGCAGCTGGTGCAAGTCGCGGGGGCTGAGCACGGCCGCCGCCTCCAGCAGCTCGATCACCTGCTCCACCTCGGTCATGGCCTGCGCCAGGCTCTGCTGACACTGGGCCAGCAGCTCTTTGTGCTTGGGCTCCATGGCAGCCGCCGCCGCCGCCGCCGCAACCGCCGGGGCCCTGCGTGAGTCTCCCCGGCCCGAAGCTCCGCGACTCCCCGGCCCGCGATGGCGGCGGCGGCGGCGGCAAGGAGGAGGAGGAGGAGGAGATGCTGGAGGGCGGCTGCAGCTGCTGTTCTGGCGAACGGCGGCCCCGCTTCGTTTCTTTTCTTTTCCTTCTTTCCTTCCTTCCTCTCTCACTTTCTTTCCTTCCTACTTTTTTTCCTTCCTTCCTCCCTCCTCCTTTCTTTTTTTCCTTCCTTCCTCCTTCCCTTCTTTCTTTCCTTGTTTCCTCCCTCCCTCCCTCCTTCTGTCCTCTTTCTTTCCTTCCTTCCTTCCTTCTTCCCTCCTTGCTTTTCTTTTTTTCCTCCCTCCCTCCTTCTGTCCTTTCTTTCTTTCCCTCCTCTCCTTCCCTTTTTTTCTCCCTCCTTTCTTTCCTTCCTCCTTCCCTCCCTGTCTCTGGTCTTCCTTTCCTTTCTTTCCTCCCTTCCTCTGTCCTTTCTTTCTTTCTTTTTCTTTCTTTCCTTCCTTCCTTCTTTCCTTTCCTGCCTTCCTTCCTCCGATGGAGGGAGGAGAAGGAGGAGGAGGCCCCTCCTACCCGCCCAGGGAGCTCCGCAACTTTTCGCCCCTCAGACAATGGGCGCCGCGCGGGGCTCCCACGCGGCCCTCGCCCACCCGCGCCCGGCCAGAGCCAAGGCAGGGAAGGCAGCGAGGGGAAGGCAAGGGGCCGGCCTTCCTTCCCTCCTTCCTTCCTTCCTTCCTTCCTTCAATGCCTTCTCCTCAGGGCGGATTTCCTCCTCCGACTCGCTACAAAGTTACGCCGCGAGCTTGGCAACTGTTGCTCCCGGGGCCGCCTAGCTGCCGGGCCGCGCAGGGCGGCTCAGCGGGAGAAGCCCGGCGGGGGCTTCCATTCGCCTCCCGAGAAGGCCCCCGACCCCCTTTCGCTGAGGGAAGCCTTCGGCTATCCCGGGAGCTGCCGCCGCCGCCGCCGCCGTTGGTTTTATTTTTTCTTTCTTTCTTTTTTCTTTCAACGGCCGGCGGGGCTCCGCGGTGGGCCGAAGGCGGCCAGCTGCATCCCTCCGTCTCTCTCGTTCTCTCTCTCCCTCTCTCTCTCTCTCTCTCTGGGCGGGCGGTGGGCGCTCCTCCCGGCCGGGCCTGAGGGTCAGCAGCTCCGGCGTTGCCTGGCGAACGCAGCCATCTTTGCTGCACTGGGGCTCGGGCGGGGGCCGCCGCCGCCGCCGCTGCTGCCGCCGTTGCGCTTGGGCTGCAGGAACTGCCTTATCCCCGCCTGGCTGCCTGGGGCCGCCTCCCCCCCCCCGTCCCCGATTGCGCGGCGGAGAGGAGACCGGGGCGGGCGGCCCGCCTCGCCTGCCTGCCCGCCCTCCCTCCTTCCCTCTTCGGCCCCCGCCTAGCGCTTGGAAGAGCAGCCGGGCGAGGCGAGGGGGAAGGCGGCTGCAGCTCCCAGCCTTGGCTCGCCTTGCATTAACTTTCGTTGCAAGCGCCCGCCCTTTTTTTTTCCCCATTCCCAGCCGGGCCGCTGGTGCTTTGGCAGAATCGGCATCTCCTCTGACCCGAAGCTGGGCTCTTATGAAGCTAAGCAGGGTCGGGCCTGGTTGGGACTTGGAGGGGAGCTTTGAACAGATTAACAGAGTTGGAAGGGACCTTATAGGTCATCTAGTCCAACCCCCCCCCCTCCCAAGGAGGAAGACCATACATCAGTGATGGTTAACCTTTTCCGGACCGAGTGGCCAAAGCGGGTCCGCGCACAAATGCGTCTGTGTACCTTATAGGTCATCTAGTCCAACCCCCCCCTCCCAAGGAGGAAGACCATACATCAGTGATGGTTAACCTTTTCCGGACCAAGTGGCCAAAGCGGGTCCACGCACAAATGCATCTGTGTACCTTAACCCCCCAAAATGCAATGTGTGTGTAGGCCCCACCCCCCTGCACATGCACATGCCCCCTGCAAGTGCATGCAGCCTGCCCCTCGTGCATACACACACAGCCCCCACGTGCCCCGCCACCATGCTTGCGTGTGCGCCCCTTACATGCCCCCCGCCCCACATGCGCGGCAGAGACACAATGGCCGGCGGGAGGTGCACGCGCATGCGCGGCTGAGCTGGTGTGACAGCTTCCGTGCCCACAGAGAGGGCGCTCCATGCCACCTCTGGCACGTGTGCTATAGGTTTGCCATCACAGCCCTACACCATTTCTGACAAATGGCAGTCCAATCTTTTCTTGAAAGTCTCAAGTGATGAAGCTCCCACAACTTCCGAAGGCAGCTTCTGTTCCACGGGTTGATTGTTCTCACTGTCAGAAAGCTCTCCGCGAATTGAAGAGCTAAAGAAGCTTCTTTGGGTTGATAAGCGAAACGTCTTCAAAGAAAAACCAGAAAGTCCAGTTGTCTCTTGAAGAAAAAAAAAAGCACCTTGGGATCAGGGAAACAGAAGAGTAAGAGTTGGAAGGGAGCTTGGAGGTCTTCTAGGCCAACCCCCTGCTCAAGCAGGAGACCCTATACCAGGGGTCTCCAACCCCGGGCCCAGAGCCCACTACCAAGCTATGATGCGGTCAGAATCAGGCCACACGAGGGGATAGCCAGTTTCCCTCTCCCCCACCCTGCTGGGCTGCTAAACTGTAAAGGTTTTCAAGAAGAGACTGGACAGCCACTTGTCTGGAATTGAATAGGGTCTCCTGCTTGAGCAGGGTGTCAGACTAGAAGACCTCCAAGGTCCCTTCCAACTTTGTTGATCTGTTCTTACCGATCAAGCTGGAAAGGACTTTGTAGGAGACCCTATATATCATTCCACACGAGTGTTGTCCAGTCTCTTCTTAAAAGCCTCCAGTGATGGAGCACCCATGATTTCTGGAGGCAAGTTGTTCCACTGGTTAATTGTCTTCACTGTTAGGAAATTTCCCCTTAATTCCAAGTTGCTTCTCTCCTTTGATTAGTTTCCATCCGTTGATTCTTGCCTTTCTGGGGTGAACCACCTCCCTGCTGGATCTGGCCAGAAGAATCAGTCCCCAGATTGAGGGTTTGTACTTGGCTTGGCTTCTCGATTGCATCAACTGCAGGTGAGGTTGAGTCAGCAACAGTTTTCCTAGGGTTTGGGCAACTCATCAACCCACAGAGTTAGCCAGATACCTCCTTGCATCAAGGGAGTTGCGGGCTCCCTACCTATTCTTTGGACAAGGAGTGACCCAGATTAAGGATCATGCTAATGGTTCACCCAGGGACCCAGTGGCTCAGGGGCTAAGGCGCTGAGCTTGTCGATCAAAAGGTTGGTAGTTCAGCGGTTCGAATCCCTAGTGCCACGTAATAGGGTGAGCTCCCATTACTTGTCCCAGCTTCTGCCAACCTAGCAGTTCAAAAGCACATAAACAATGCAAGTAGAAAAATAGGGTCCACCTTTGCTGGGAAGGTAACAGCATTCTGTGCGCCTTTGCCATTTAGTCATGCCGGCCACATGACCATGGAGACGTCTTCGGACAGCACTGGCTCTTCAGCTTTCAAATGGAGATGAGCACCGCCCTCTAGAGTCGGGAACAACTAGCACATATGTGCGAAGGGAACATTTACCTTTACCTTAATGGTTCACACAGGTTGTGGGTGTGATAGATGGTCATTCCAACCACAAGAGCCAATTCCCGGTCTTTGTTTTACATAAACCATGCCCGCTGAGCAAAGCTGCCTTTTGCAACTGACTTGAGAAGTTGTCACTACCCGATGGTGTTCAAGAGACGTTCCAGATGTTTGGGGGTTGTGCCCAAAGCCAAAGCACCTATTACAGGTAGTCCTTGACTTACGAATGCAATTGAGCCCAGGATGGATGTTGCTAAGTGAGAAATTGGTTACGTTTTGGCCAATTTTACGGCTTTCCTTCCACCTTTTGTTCGGTGAATCGCTGCAGTTCTTAAATTAGTACCGTGTGTGAATCTGGCTTCCCGATTGACTTTGCTTGTCAGAACGTCGCAAAAGGGGATCACGTAACTCTGGGACACTGCAGCCGTCATAAATATGAGCCAGCGGTCAAGCATCCTAATGTAAATCTCGTGACTGTGAGGCTACTACAAAGGTTGTAAGCATGAAAAATGGTCATAAGTCACTTTTTTCAGTGCCGTTGTAACTTGGAACGGTCACTAAATGTACTGTTGTGAGTTAAGAAATACCTGTACTGATATTTTGGCACAGTGATGGTGGGAAGACTTTAGAAATTGCAATAAATAGATCATGGGGGAATTATCTTAGTCTAAGTAACCTATAGAAGTACTAATTCAGAATCACTATACCGCTAGTCCAAATCAAAGAAGCATGACAAAATAAACGCAATAAGATAAAATGTAATAATATAAGAAAACGTTAAAATATAATAAGTTAAGGACAGTACAGTGTAGGTAGAACTCAACTTACAACATTTCATTTAGCGACCATCCAAAGTTAAAGTGGCACTGAAAAAAAGTGACAATTTTTCACATCTGTGACTGTTCCAGCAATCCTCGTGATCAAAATTGAGACAGTTGGCAACTGACTGATATTTATGACGGTTGCAGTGTCCTGGGGTCTCCTTTTGCGACCTTCTGACAAGCAAAGTCAATGGGGGAAGCCAGATTCACTTAACAACCGTGTCACTAACTTAACAACTTCAGTGATTCACTTAACAACAGCATGTGCGCCGGGCAGCTGCTCTTCCGGTTTCCGGTGTTACCACATATTTCGGTACTCGGTGCTGAAAAGGTTCGCCAACACTGCTCTATACCATCTTGGACCCGTGACAATAATTATTCTGGAGTCCTGGTGATGAATTTAAATGTTCTTAAGATGCCTTCAACGCAACCATATCTTAAGGCTTGGTGGAAAATGAGAAACATCAACTTTTTGTCACTCGGAGTCAGAACAGGAATTTATTTGATTGGCCATATCTTGACAGTTGCTTGAAAATACCTGGTCATAATGACCTGCTGTAACTTACCCTGTTTCCCCGAAAATAAGACATTCCCTGATAATAAGCCCAATCGGGCTTTTGAGCACATGCGCTAAAATAAGCCTCCCCCCGAATATAAGCCCTCCCTGAAAATATTTCAACGCAGAGCTGGAAATCAGGTAAGATGGCAAAAGGAATCCCATCTTGCTCCACGTGTCCCAAAATAATAAGACCTCCCTGAACATAAAGCCAAGCGCTTATTTTGGGGTTCAAAAAATAGACAGGGTCTTATTTTGGGGAAAACACGGTATTTATATAGGGTGTCTGAGTGTTCACACTGACCATGCCACAGTGAGTGGCAAGAGGCATAGAAACCGAAATTTCCAAAAGAAGAGAGCCAAAAATCCAAAATCATGCACAAAGGGGAGATAATTTTCCAATGCTTCTGGGAAATTGTTATCCAGGGGAAGGAAAGAATTTGGACAATTTTAAAAAAAAATCATAAATGAAAACAAATATACGTGTCCCAGGATAATGTCGCAGAATCCAATCTGGGTCAGTCACCGGGACCAGAGATTTTGTCTTCCGAGCTTTTGGACACCCCAAAACGATGAGAGAGAAATTCCCTGAGGATGAGCTCCAGCACGAGTCCAAAAACTTGGAAGGCTAAACCTTTGCTCCCGGTGACTGACCCAGATTGGACCCTGCAATATTTTCTTTTAAATGTTACAGAATCAAAGGAAGAAAAAAAAAACCCACCCTGTTTATATATTGCCATCCAAAATGATTAGAAAGATTTAAAAACCTCCACCGTGATAGCAACAAGGCGAATCGTGACGTCGCCCAGTATTCAAATCTGTGGAAGATGGCTGCCCTGTGATCTCCTTGTGAGGAGCAGTCATCCAGAGCACATGTGGGCAATTTCACATCCTCTCCTTATCTGGAGAGTTCCAAAAAACCTGGAGCCGTGGTGGTGCGGTTAGAATGCGGTACAGCAGGCTACTTCTGCCAGCTGCCAGCAGTTCGAGTCTTACCGGCTCGAGGTTGACTTATCCTTCCATCTTTCCGAGGTCGGTAAAATGAGGACGACAAGAGAGTTGGGGACAAGGGAGGGCTGTAAAAGCACTATGAAGCGGTATATAATTCTTAACACTATTGCTATTGATTCAGCCTTCCATCCTTTTGAGATCGGTAAAATGAGGACCCAGATTGTTGGGGGCAAAAGGCTGACTCTGTAAACCGCTTAGAGAGGGCTGTAAAGCACTGTGAAGTGGTATATAAGTCTAAGGGCTATTGCTATTTACCAGTTCCTTGGTCTTTGCCATCAACTCTACTTTCA